TTAACCTACTTATATCTTAATTATAACTAAGCATTTGACTATCTTACAGTTTACATTTCACCAAAGTAATAACCCTTAATAATTTTATTGTTACCTATACAATTTGTTATTGTATCTTAAAGAATCTAGCTCATGTAACCTGACAATCTGGATTCGTCATAAGACGTGGGTATTCAAAAGATTATCCTTGACTTTGAATAAGTTATTGCAATCTACAGATTAGTTTAAAGTTTAGTGTTTATCTAGGAAAACATAAATTTTGCCTATATATTTGTCAATTTTAGGTTACAGCAAAATAATTTTTCAACTATAAAATTCGATACCTACTTTTTTGGCTTTTCAGTGATTTTACCCTCGAACAGATTAGGTCGTTCGCAGAAAGTCCATGTGTTTGTAAATACCATTATAGGGTATTACATTTCAATTATCTACGTATAAAAACAAAACTGCTTCCCACGAAAGATGAACTTGAACCGCGATTATGAATTTACTATTGATTTTGTTACAAGATCAAGAGATCTGAGAAAGTGTGAGGAGTATAAAATATATACTTGATGGAAAGCTTGATAACAATAGAGAGAATATCAAAGTAAGATATCGAATCTTCAAAAAAAAAACAATCAAAGATTGCTATGGTTTTCTAAACGTATGTCTTAACAATATTTTTACTTAATTTTGTTAATGAACTTCAATGTCAAAATGTCATGTAAAAATCCTGACCAATAAAGAAACAATAATACGACGTACGTTTTCGTAACCAAAGCAATCTTTGATTGTTTTTTTTTTTGAGGACCCGATATAATTGACAGAGTAGGTAACACAAGGTAAAAAATGCGTTAACATTTTAAATTCTTTACTCTGGAGTAGTCAGCTTTCTATAAAAACAAAAAAGACAAAATAATCTAAGGATCAACTAGAGCCGATTGACGTACGGAGTTGAATATGCTGGCACCTATCGGAATGAAATAAAAAGAAGGTAGATGCAGTGGAAATACAGACTTGTTCAGACGGGCATGTAGAGTTTCAAGACTGGAGCATATACAGAACGCTGAAATTCGAAGAAGAACCGGAATAATTCATAGAGCCACTAAAGGAATAGACACCCGACAGATCATATGGTATGGGCATGTTATGAGAATGGAGGAGGAGAAATGGCCAAAGAGGGCTTTGATGTACCTACGTTCCATGGAACAGGCGGAAGAGACGAAGACCGGCGCTATAACATGGATAGATAACATTTAAAAAAGATATGAATGATAGAGCGATAGACCAGACGAGGAAGAATGACCTCCGCGACGATGATGATGATGAAATATTAACATTTTTCAAAAGAAAAGGTCAATATTTCTTTTCGTTGCCCAGGCAATGGAAGGTCACTGTAAGGAAATCTTCATTATTTCCCTAAGGAAATGGCATCTGTAATAAATAATATTCAATTTTTGAGGAAAATAGTATCGGTAAGTTGACCTTGTAGGAAAAACCACAGGGTCGACCGGGAATCTTCAACTTTTCCTCCCTATAGTTATAAAATGTACTATTAAACTGATGTCATTGATTTTATCTACCTATAAAGCAACCATAGGAAAAACCTACATTTTTTTTATTGTTGTGCCGTATTGTATTGATTCATAACTTATTTATTTATTTATTTATCAACGAGCAATTATTGGCCGAAAACTACAAAATACTTAAATGAAATTAATTAAAAGAGCTTGACAATTCAAAGCCAGATGGTGTGTCCCCATCTGTTTTGAAATGTTGTGCTAGATCTCTTTATATGCCACTGTATATGTATAATATTTAATAAATCGCTAAAAATTGGTGAGTTTCCAGCCATATGGAAGAAATCTTTTGTAGTTCCAATTATCGTTCTGTTGATACCAACTTGTTTTTTTATAGGTACCAACGTACCAACTCTATTTTTGTTGCTATGGTGGAAGGTGCTGAGATTCATGCCATTTATATGGACTTCAGCAAAGCTTTTGATAGAGTAAGCCATGCTATTTTGATATCAAAATTGAGAAAGTATGGTATTGCTGGGTCATTATTGAAATGAATAGAATTTTATTTATCGAATCGGTACCAACAAGTAAGGATAGAAGGTTATCTGTCTAATATATTTTTTGTCACATCAGGGGTTCCACAAGGGTCACGTTTAGGTCCCCCTTCGTTTAATATCTTTATACATGACATTTGTTCTATCTTGGAAGTTGCATACTTATTATTTGCTGATGACCTAAAAATATACGCCAAGATTCTATCACAACAAGATCAAATTGAAATCCAGAATGATCTAAACAAGATAAATAGATGGTGTGGTGTACTCTAAATAGCATGACTCTAAACACAGAACAGTGTCAAGTTTTGCGGTTAAGTAGGCTTAAAAATAACTTCCCTATGACTTACATGTTAGGTGGAAGTCTGTTAAAGGAGGTATCTGTTGTAGAGGACCTGGGTGTGTATCTCGACACAAAATTAACATTTTCTGAGTAGGTACTATGTAAAAGTCATAGCCCGTGCGTGTAAAATGTTGGGATTTGTTAGGAGATCTTGTCAGGATTTTACGAATGAAAAGACACTGAAAATTCTTTTTGTTATCCTCGAGTTTTCTAACATAATTTAGTCACTATTTTTTAATATATACATAGATTGCCTTGTGAGCATTAATTCAGCGTAAATTTAATAAATTTGTACGTTACAACGTTACAAATTGAGTAAAAAGGGTATTTTTTTAATCAGTGGAAGATATATAATATTTGTAGCCCAGAATGTCTTTCAGTGATAAAATTTCATGTTCCTGGTTACATAACTCGTAATGCTCCATTATTACAAGTCCCACTGAGTCGTACTCTGTATTTTATGTATAATCCAGTAAACCGAATTTTGCCGTCAACTTGACTTCTTTACTGTTTGAAAAAATAGATTTAAAACTTCTGCCAAGAAGGCAATTTTGGGTTAAGAAATATTTGTATTTAATCTTGTAAATGTGAATGCATAAATAAATAAATAAATAAATAATTAAATAAATAATAATACACTTTTTTTTTTAAATTTCTTTAATCATAATTATTTAGGGACATTAAAATATCACAGGGTACAGGACTTTAGCTGGGATTAAAAACTTTTTGATTATCAAAACAGTCCAACCTGTCAGAATACTGATTAGCAAATCTAGCCGATCTTGACAGAAAATAATTATATCCGTAGTTAGTATGATGGTATCCAATTTGGAAAGGCTGATTGAGTCTTGTTTGTCTAGAAGGAACATGGATATTGACTTTTGCCAGTAGCTCTGGACCAAAGCTATGTGAGTGCAGTAGGTTATAGAATATGGTAAGATCCTTGTGCATGCGTCTGATCTGGAGAGTAGTAATGTTAGGGGATCTTTCAACCCGTGAGTAATTGATATCTTCAACTTCATTGGCGTTTTTTAAATGAAATAAATCTCAAGAATTTATGTTGGACTCTCTCAATAGCCTGGATATGGATATTGTAGCGGGGTGACCATCACAAGAACATAGTAATCTAGATGAGGCCTCACAAGAGAACAGAATAATATTTTGATGGATGTTATATTAAGAAAATCTTTAGCGCACCTTTTAATGAAACCTAGGATTTGAAGTGATTTTGATACTGCCATTGATATATGGGGTAAGTAAAATAAGTTGGAATCAAGGACTACACCTAGATCTTTAATTTGACATACGGATTCCAAAGGACAACCATTTATAGTGTAGACTTGTTCTGTGGTCCATACCATTAATTTCGCACCAGTTGCTGAGACGATCTAAGTCGGCTTGCAGTTCTTGGCAATCAGTATTATTCTTGATTCTTATGTATAATTTTAAGTCATCTGCAAACATTAGGAAGAAGGCAAAGACAAAAGAGGATGCAAATATCATTCACATATAAATTAAAAAGAAGAGTGCCCAGGTGTGAACCCTGGGGTACACCCGATGGTACTTTAATTTCTATTGATTGGAATCCCTAGATACGCACTATCTGTGTTCTTTCATATAGGTATATATAAGAGGAAAGCCATTCATTATTATGAGATTATTTTAATCGGATATCAATTATTTTCTAATATACGTAGGTATAATATAGAATATAGATAAGTACATAGGCACCCACCTCTTTTATGTTTTGTGTTTATTGACTAGTCACAGATGGCGAATCCTAATTAGTTAACATATCGCTTATTGTTTTTTGTTATTTTGACTTCGCTAGTTTCGTTGTCGCGTTAACTAATATATAATATGATTGGCTTTCTTTTGCTCTGTAACTTTATGCATGCTACTTTTGTTGTAATAGAATTGTACTTATTATTATTAATCACTAGATAATAAAAATGTTGAGAACTTTGAGTTTTTATCTCGAAATAAAATCATTTAACCCACAAAAAACAGCGAAATTGCCTAAAATGATGATAATTTTTGCTTCAAACGTCTGCTTTGAATTGTAAACCCTCAAAAATAAATTTCCTTCCAAATAACCATGAACAAAACAGTCCAAATTATGATTCCAATTAATCAAAACTGAAATATATTTTCATCTCTTATCTCAAGAGCGGTAAAAGCCCGACAACTTGAAGTGACGAGTTACGCATATCGAAATTTCTAAATGCGAAATTATTAAAACATACAAAGACATATGTTTTCTGAAAATTGTTTATATATTTCTGTATGAGAACAAAAACGGCAATAGGAGTATTTCTGTAGAAAAATAAACAGGAGCACGAAAAATTATTGTGAGGAATGAATAATATGACCTCAATCAAATTCTTTGGAAATAAAACAAATTTCAATGAAAACAATGATCAAGAATTATAATTTTTAGGTATAAGTAATTTTGGTTATTTTTAAGTATTTCAGTCCGGTAAATGGCATATTACGTCACTAGTCCGGTAAAGCAACATTGCCGGACCCTTTTCGAAAGTCTACGTGACAATGATACACATTCGTGAAATCATTGAAAAAAACCACAAATAAACCCTAAAATAAATCTTTATTCGTCCAACAACAATAAAATTACAAAGTAAACTGGTAATGCGAATTCGATTTACCGCACTCGGAATGCTCCACAACGTTGCCGCAACAGGACCAATGCCTCCGTCCTGGATGACCTTCGTGGCCATGTCCGCAACCCTTATAACCTCCCGGCATTTTTCCTTCGCACCCGCAGGAGGCCTCTTTACTGCCCCCGCTTGAGCAGAAGCTGCAACAGTGGAATGTACCGTGATGGGGCTTCAGACTTCTGACTGTTATTGGAAATGGACTACCCTGAAATTGACCAAATATTAGATTTAAGATGAAGCAGCGCTGTGCAGCAAAATGTCAGGCTGCGCAGATGAGAATCTATTGGATGTATGGCCGTTTCCACCAACTATTTTAGGGAAGCCTTAACGATAAGTATTCCCTAAACTGACAGTTTTCCATGGAGAAATGTCAGTTTAGGGAATACTTATCGTTAAGGATTCCCTAAAATAGTTGGTGGAAACGGCCATAAGTCAATGACATTTAAGTCGTAGGTACCTATTGATTGGGAAAACAAAACCTATAGGTTTGGTATATACCTGGATATGTTCTCCTTTCACTTTGATAATCAAGGCCAGTTTTCCAGCTACGTCAGGCACAAACGATATCCCATAGGTTCCATCCCTTTTATCAATCACATTTACGATTAGCGATCTAGAAACACCAGCATCACTGTACCGAATTTCTGCGGTTACAAATTCGCCACCCCTTTCGAGAGGGTTGTCTTTGTTGTCTCTAGATTCTAGAGTGACTGAGACTTTTTTACCTACACGCAGATTCTGTAAATCTAGAAAGAAAAATTATTTTGTTAAAAAAAAATCATGTGATAACGGAGATTTAAGAATATTGTTAACATTTATAAGCATTGTTCCAACTCAGCCGGGAACCTTACATTTCTCCGTAAGGATTCTGCGCAAAAATAAATGTATTTGTGCATAGAAACCGAAATTCGTATGCAGAGTGGTTCCAAAACCGTTCTTGGGATGGTTTTTTGGCGAGTTGGAACAGACCTGATACGGACGTTAGCTAGTCCTGCAAAAAGTCTAAAAACAAGATGCATATACTCGACAAATGTAAAAGAAAAGGGACGAAATACAATTTCATGCAGTGACAGTGGCTGCAATGGAAAAATGTATTGATTATTTTGTATCAACAAAGTTATTATGAATTTTTTGGAAAAAGAAATATTGTCAGTGCGTAAAATAAGTACCAAAGACCACAAAAAACTGAAAAATATCAGTTTAACATACATAACAAAAGAATCGCCTTTTGGAAATTACGTGGCAGTCTTTTACAATGACGAATTGTGCTGCCTGAAGTTTTATGAAGATGCAAATTTGAATGAGTGTCTGGAAAAGATTCAGGAAAGCTTTAAAAAAGCTGAATTAATTTACAAGGACCATTTCGAACCTCCAAACCAGTTAAAATTATATTTGAAAGGAACTGATTTTGAGGTCTCTGTGTGGACAGAGCTCTTAAAAATTGAAAAGGGGTAAATACATTGTTATGCCTAATTTGGACTTCAAATAAATATTTTTAGGAAAACAATTAATTATAATGACATAGCAACAGCTCTAGGCAATCCAAATTCGGTCCGAGCTGTAGGAAACGCAGTTGGCAAAAATCCTATCGCCTATATTGTGCCATGTCACAGGGTGATACGGAAAAATGGTGAATTGGGCGGATTTACTGCAGGACCTCAGAGAAAATTGGAAATGTTTCATTATGAAGGAGCCAACATATAAAATTATTTCCTCCTATAATTGAATTTGTTAACTTTATATTCATTTGAATTTTAAGAATTATATAGAGTGTTTCATTGAGTTTAAATATCAGTTTTTTATTGAAAAGCATAGAAAATTCGTGATATGATTCTCACCTTTCGTATTAATTTGACAATGTTCAGCAGAAACACTTTGAGTGGTGAGCACTCCGTAAATATCAAATACATGTTTCGAATCTTTTACAGCTTCCTCAGGTAAAAACTGAATACTATCAGAATATTTCAATTCGGGACTCGGCTCCAAGTTATCACAGGCTTCAATTTTATTTATAACTGGTTTGATGAAGCTAAGCACTTCTACGTCAGAACCTTGGCTAAGCAAATCGTCAAGGAAATAAGCTATATCCCTGGCATTTTTAATTTTCTTTTGTAAACGCAGCTTTTCTTGGATGATTTGCTGCATTTTTTCGTCACGGATTTGACGGATTTGGTCTAGGAGGTTGCTTTTGTGCTCTTCTATTGATTTTATGTAATCTTCAATGAACTTTTCAACTTCACATTGAATCTAAAACATAATTATTGTCAAATATTGTACTTTACTTGGATAAATATAACAATAGGTAATTTGAATATAAAATATGAAAAATTACTTTGCAACAATCAGCTTCAATCCTCTTGGAAGTAGCATTGAGTACACTTGTATCCATGGCAGATTTTTCAATAAGAGCTTTAGCTTTATCAGCAGCCATTCTCAAGCTTATTATATGAGATTTTGCTACTCTACTAACAGGTTCACTAAGATGACTTTTGTGTGAAGCAGAGACACATTCTCGACAAACCACCTAAAGCAAATTGCCTGTAACTTTTATATTTTAGCATCAGAAATGAGTACCTGATAACAAGTAGAACAAAACAAAACTAGTTCCATTTCTGGATGAAACATGCACATAATCTGCCTTCGAATTTTAGTAATTCCTTTTTCTCTGGCATCGTCTAGAGTTAAAATTTCATGCATAGATGCTGATTTCTGTCTGGCATGTAATTCTTCGCATTGATGACAGAAAGTTATAGCACAGTCCATACATCGAGAAGTAGCCTATAAGTTACACAAATATATTATGCAAATTGTTGTGAAAATTCTTACAGTCACGTCGGTTGTACACAAATCGCAAAGCAAATGTGTAGATTTCGAATTGAGTGTTGCCAAAACCATTTGATGTTGAACGGAATAGTTCGGCGGGAAAAATCTGACGCCGCCTCTGGGTACCTCGGCTCTGGTACCGCACGATGGACAGCATATGCCTCTGGTTGGTCGGTCTTCTTGTTTGTCGCTGACATATCCAGAATTGCCCGAGCCTCCTGACCCGTTCGAACTGGTTTTTCGGGATTGAGAACTACTGGATTTTACACCTGGAAGTATATGATTACTTAGTTGTTTTTGGAATCTTTTCAGTCATGAGCCTTGTATACTTAATTATCAATGCACAACTTGCCAGAAAATTGCGGTATAGGTAGGTATGGTGTACGGTTTACTTAATCGTAGAATAGGTACGCGAAAAAATTCCGCGCGACCAAATAAACTGCTTTAATGACTTATTAAAACAAGCTAGAGAGCTTGAAGAGACATTTGATCGTCGTGGTAGTACAAACGCGAAGGAAAATGCTAAAGATATAACGCGAGTGCGATGCCAATATTGTATAAACTACCTAAAGTTGAAACTGACAAAAAGACTCAACAAAATCTTAGTTTATCTAGTTCTAAACCAATAAATAAACCTACAGTGTTAGCTGTGGTGTTACAATCGGGATTCAGAATAAAACTACTGCGACTTCTTTTAGTTGCTATGGATGTGGAAAACCAGGTTTTATTCGATCCAACTTTCCAGTGTGTCAAAAAACTGAAACGTCCGCGTTAGAATTTTTTAGTTTGGATAGATAAGTACCTTAGTTTCCCCACGCGCATATTAGGACATGTAGGACAAGGCTTGATAGATAGGTACCGTCGCTAAGCAAAGTGTTGCTAGTTCCACTTTGTATAAGCTTTTATTTACGACTAATGTATAATGTGCGTATTATATTTGTGAGTTTGGCAGTATAATGACATATGTTATTCCTCCCTCCAGGGATTAATGAAGAGTAGCGTGATTAATGGCCATTATTCCACAAAAGTGTCAGTGTCAAACGTGTAGTGCTTGTGGATTTGTATTGAAAATTATGAGACGGATGAAATTTGTTCATTGAAAATCTCAAATAAATTAATTTGTCGTAAATAAAGTAGAGTATACTACTCGCAATAATGGCTATTATTCCCTCGGAATGTTACTCCCTCGCCGCTAACGCGGCTCAGTTCGTAATAATCCTCGGGAATAATAGCTATCATTATTGACTCGTGGTATAATCTACTATTGAAAAACAAGGGACAGAACTTTAAAAGTGAACAAATCCCAATGATTTCAGCTGATGGTCAAAAACAAACTAAGGATGTTTACACTACAAAAGTTGATGTTATGTTGGAAGGGAAAAATATTCCTACAAAATTTATAAATTTTCCTGGAACCGAAACGAAAACGCTGTTTGGAATTGATTTTATACAGGATGCTCGAATAATTCTAGAAACAGCTGATGGAAAATGGAAATTTGCAGATAATGTATTCTATGAATACGATCTTGAATATGACAGCAAATCTCAAAATGAGTTGTGTGAATTTTTAACTGCAGGAATGATTACTACAAATGTTTTGAGGCCTAATGAAGGTACCATGCTAACAGAAAATGAAAAGCTTTCTAAGAGAAAGACAGGATAGGTTCAAACTGGGGGAAGACAACGCCGTTTGCAGTTCATTACATTACCACCAAAGAACACATTCCGAATTCTTTACCTCCATACAGATTGGCACCACAGAAAAAGCAACTTTTGAAAGAAGAATTGGATAAGCTGTTAGAAGATAACATTAAGAGTGCGAAAGTCCGTGGGCTGCACCAGTTGTACTAGTCGCTAAGAAAACAGATGGTGTAAGAGTGTGTGTCGATTACCAGAAACTGAATGCTATTACACTAACTGATATAGCTATCCACTGCCGCGATTGGATGAGCTATCACACGCCGCGAAACAGACTCTTTATATGACAACCATTAATCTCAGATCCGGTTACCATCGAGTTAGTGTTTATGAGCCAGATCGCGATAAAACAGCTTTTACAACAACGTTTGGTATTTTCCGTTATACGAGAATGCCATTCGGGCTCAAAAATGCGCCGGCAACGTTTCAACGGCTCATAGATCGGTTTAAGAATGGACTTAAACGGAACACCGATGATAGTGAAATCGTAGTTTTTGCGTACCTCGATGATTTGATTGTGTTATCGAGTTCGTTTGAAGATCATAGATCTTAAAGCAGCATTTGATAGACTTGACCAATTTTAACTACGTGCAAACCGCGAGAAGTGCGTATTTGCGTGTGCTCAGGTGAAATATCTGGGACATGTGATCACATCTCAAGGTCTTTCAGTAGATTCAGAAAAAATATCAGCTATAGCAAAAAGACCTCCACCAAGAAATGTACATGAAGTGCAATTATTCCTATAAAGTGCAAGTTGGTTTCGACGCTTCATTGATGGATTTGCTGAAATGCACGTCCATTAAGTAACCTCACGGAAAAAAAAAAAAAATTCGGAGATGGGCGTCCTTTGAACAAGAGTCCTTTGACAATTTGAAATAATTGCTCACCACGGCACCCGTCCTTAAACAAGGTGATTATACCAAGCCTTACATAATAAGAACCGATTCAAGCGGTTATGCTCTTGGAGCTTGTTTACTTCAAGGTGATAGTGGAAAAAATTAACACCCTATCAAATATGCAAGTAGATTATTGACTGGTACAGAAAGAAAGTATTCCACTGCTGAAAGAGTGTAGTGTGGGCTTTAAACAAATTTCGTGGGTACATAGAGTGTTCACTTGTAACCATACAGACAGATCTTCAAGCTTTGAGATGGCTGTTAAATATAAAGTCTCCAACAGGTAAACTAGCCAGATGGGCATTACAGATTCAAAGTTTATTAACATCAAAATTGAATATCTACCAGGAAAGAGAAACGTCATAGCTGATATGCTTTCAAGACCACCCTGAACATGATACTGTTGAAAATTGTGAGATTTGTACATTTTCTATAGAAATGCATCATGGAAGCGCGAGAAGAGCAATTAAAAGATCCCGATGATATAGTCAAAATAATCAAAGGCTTCGAAGATTCAAGTGATTAGATCAAGAGTTTAGGGAATGGACAGAAAGAGGTTATATTATGACACAAGGAGTTTTATACGGATATTCGCCTGAAAGCGACGAAGAAGATATACAACTATTAGTAGGTACCTAAACAGGAAAAAGAAAATGTTCTTCAAGAACATCATGATGATCCAAGCGCCGGAGATTATGGTGTTGAAGGAAGGTTTCATAGAATATCGAAAAGATACTATTTTCCTGGGATGCGAAGATACATAACAGATTATGAAATCTTGCACAGATTGTCCAAGATATAAGCCAACAAATCAAAAGCCTGCAGGATTGTTGCAAACAAACGTTTATGCTCAAAGATTTCAGACATAGGCTATTGACTTATTTGGACCACTTTCGCCGGAACCTGAGGAAGAAACATGGATATTTATAGTAGAAGATACTTCAACAAAATGGGTAGAGTTGTTTCCCTTAAAACAAGCTACTGCCGAAAGTTGTGCTACTATTCTAGTAAATGAAATCTTCTTTAGATATGGAATATGCAGGAAATTGATTAGCAATAATGGAGTACAATTTATATCTGCGATTAGGTATGCAACAAGTGTATTTCATCCGTAAAATCAAATAAGCATTCATACCGCTTTACCATGCTTCTGCTACTATGGTTGAACGAGAAAACATAGACCTTGAGTCAAGACTTGCTATTTTAGTTAAAGATGATCATGGGTCTTGGCCTAAAAAATTATCCGTTGTAAGATTTTCAATGAACTCTACTTGGTGTGAAACTACAGGACAATCCGCTGCTTATTTGAATTTAGGCAGAGAATACGAACATTAGATGACGTAAGCAATGACATAAAAGCTGCATTTGAAGCAGAAAATTTTGTGGCTTACCTAAATAAAATGGTTGATACTTGGAAGGAAGCTGAAGAGCTCAATGAAAAACAACAAGATCGTCGAAAGCTAAATGCAGATACAAGAAGAAGAGATGTACCTAAGCTTAAAGTAGGCGATAAAGTATGGTATGGGTGACAGGTGATAGTATATGCTTTAAGCAATGCCGCAAAAGGAATTACGTCAAAGTTTTATCCTAAGCGATATGAACCATATTATGAAATAGCAGAAGTGGTCTCTCCATGCAACAAGCTACCAAATAGCTAATGAAAATGATTTAACGGTGCCTTTAGGCATGCATCATACATCAAATTTGGAACCAGCCATTGTTACAGAAAGAGAGCAGCCTATTGTGACTATAAGAAAAAGGGGAAGACCTAAGAAAAAGAACTTTTAACTGGTTTCTTCTCATTAAGCTTGAGACCAGGGGGGGAGATTATAACAAATATTAACCAAAATTTTGTATGTTAACTCGGCCCTGTATCTCCGAAACTAATCATAGGATCTTTTTGGGCCTACGAGAACTTACGTTCAGGAGGTCGAGAAGCATAACATATTTCAATTTCATGACAATCGTGAAATTTAATTTTTCTCATAAGATCCGTGCGTGGTCCTTTCAATAAAATATCTGAGAAATGACGACAAAAAAAAAATTAAATTTTAGCAAAATTACATAGAAATTATGCGGAATTCCATAGAAATTATGCGGCATTCCCTGAAATTTACGCGGAATTCCGTTGAAATTACATAGAATTTCAAATAGGTATGCTAAATTCCATCAAAATTAGGCGGAATTCAAGTGAAATTAAAGAAGTAATGACGTGGAATTCCAAAAAAAATAAAAAATTATTAATAAGAAATTTCAGTAAAATTTAATGAAATTCCGTAAAAAATATGCACCATTTTATTGAAATTATGCTGAATTCCATAGAAAAAAAAAACGTTTAATGTTAGAAAAATTACATAGATTCCTATAGAAATTATGCAAAATTCTATAAAAATTATGCGAAAATTCAGTGAAATTAAATGGAATTCTGAGAAAATGGCGTACAATTCCACAAAAATCGTTGAGTTTTAATTAAATTACATAAAAACCCATAGAAATTATGTGGAATTCCATAAAAAATTATGCAAAATCCCGTAGAAACTATGAGGAATTCCATTGAAATTATGCTGAATACCATGGAAATGATGCCTAATTTTATAAAAAGTATGCAGAATTTTATTGAAAATATACCAAATCCCATTAAAATCATGTGAAATTCCATTGAAATTAAATGGAAAACGACATAGAATTCCAAAAAAAAGCGTAAAGTTTCAAAAAAATCAAAATCCTATAAAAATTATGTGGATTTAAGTAGTATGGAATTCCATAAAAATTATGCGAAATTTCAAAGAAACTATGCAAACGTCCAAAGAATTTCTGCGGAATTCTATAAAAAATATGCAATATTCTATAAAAACTATGCAAACTTTTACTGAAATTATGCGGAATTACGTGGAAATTATGTGGAATTTTATTAAAATTGTGTGCAATTAAATAGATTTCCAGTAAAATTTAATAAAACCTCAGGGATACGACGTAGAACTCCAAACAAAAATATGTGGAATTTCTGTGGAATTCCGGTAAAATTATGAAATTAATTTTCTTGGAGTTCCAAGTAATTTATCCAAAATTTTAAATTATTCTCGTGAAATTCCAAAAAAAAATATGATACCTATTATTCAAAATTCCTGTGAATTTCTGAGGAATTCCTGTGAAATTTCTTGCAATTGCAGAAAATTTCTTTGAAATTACATGAATTTTTACTTAGTAGAATTCCAGAGAATTTTCATGGAATTACGAGGAATTCTGGTGTACAATTTTTTTTTTAAATTTACTAAAAAAATATATTTTCTAATACATTATTTCAGAGACCCTGACACCGTCGTTACGGTTGTGCTGAATAATTTTACTTCACATTTCAAAATTCAGGAAAATTTTTATTAATCAATTAATAATATTTATTGAAATTTTGAATAACTAATAAGTAATATTTTATTTCAGATCATGAAATTCTCGTGAAATTTTAAATAATTCTTGTGAAATTATTTGGAAGTTCAGTGATATTCGGGTAAAATTATGTGGCATTTCGAAAAAATTCCAATGAAATTCCATTTATTTTCCGGAAATTCCACGTAATTCTCCCGGAATTCCAAGTTATTCTCGTAAAATTCCAAAAAATTCCCGTAAAAATTACATTAAATTTTCATGCAACTTAAAAAAATTCTTGTGAAATAACTTAGAATTATAGTGGAATTACGTGGGATTTTGGTAAAATTATGTGATACTGCGAAAGAATTACGACGAAATTTTTCGAGTACCTATTCGACTCAATGTCTCTGGAATTTTAAGTTATTCTCGTGAAATTCCAGAAAATTTCCATGAAATTCCAAAATATTCACGTGAAATTACGTGGAATTTTCGCTAAATTTAAAAAAAAATAAAAAATCCTGTAGAATTACATGGAATCCTTGTAATTTGTGAAATTACATGGAATTCCAAAAAAAGTCCTGTTGAAATACAGAAAATTTCTTTGAAACTAATTGATTTTTTAGTGGAATTCCGGAGAATTTTTAGGGAATTCTGGTGTGCAATTTATTAACATTCTATGAACATTCCTGGATCATTCTATAGGTACCTACCTAATAAGAATTTCAGTGGAATTCTGAAAAATTCTTGTAAAATTACACGAAATTCTTATGAAATATCAGAAAATTTCCATGAACATTCCTGAAACATTCTACGAACATTCCCGGAACATTCTATAAACATTTCCCGAATATTCATCTAAAATTTTCCAAATAAAACATGTTGAAACATTCCTGAAACATTCTATAAACATTCTTGGAACATTTTATAAACATTTCTGAAATATAAATTGCGAATTTTTTAAAAAAAAAAAAAAACATGTTGAAACATTTCTGGAACATTTTATAAACATTCCTAAAATAGAAGAATTATTTCAAAAATAATATTGAAATATTTTTATCTTGATGGGACATTCTACGAACAATCCATAAGCATTCCTAGAAGGGTACCCCCTTTGAATTTTGATTTCAAAATATTTAAACCTCAATTGCTCGATAACCGTTGAGCAAATTGCATTGAAATTTTCAGTATTTTAAGCTCTTGTTAAGCCTTAAATAGCCTGTAATTTACAATATTTTTAGATTTATAGTTTTTGAGCAAATTGAGTTTGAAGTTTTTGACAAAATTTGGACGAAAAGTCAACTTTGAGGCTCAATTGCTTGAAAACTATTCGAGCTATCAAACTCAATTTTACGCAGATTCATAGATAATTTAATGCTCTTTCTGATGATATATAATTTATTTCAATTTGCTCGCTTTGTAGATAAAACGTTGTACATCACACATGTGTTTAAACATGACTATAAAACTCATGTGATTAGAACGACTCTTAAAAAAATGTGAGAGTTGGACTTCATTAGCATGCAGTTTATTGATTTTTCTGAACTAAAAAGATCCATAGGACTTTGATGGAATGCTACAAATTGCAGATTGAAATTTTATTCTTCTAAAATCAAAGGGATCTTATGAATCTAAAACTTCTGAGCTTAAATCTCAACATTTTGTGGAGATAATTTCATGATTCTAATAACAAACAGGGTGGTCCTATAACAAATTCCATTCTTAATCAGTTTAAGCTCAAAACCGCTTCAATAAAAATATAAATTTATCAGAACCTTAAAACATCTGCCTCGACTAATCGCCGTTTTACAAGCAGATTTCTATGATCTAAAAAAAGTACTCCGGAAGCCTCTCACCTAATTGAATCCCTATATCCAATTAGTGTCTGAATTAATGACATAACATCAGATCTATCAAGTATATTATGAAGCCCTTCCAGATTAAATTCCTGCGGATTTTCTATGCCTACTATAAAACGTATTTATTTATAGAATTGGAGTTGCCCATGTGCAGTTAATTTTGAAAAGGGGGTGTCGAATATTTATAGAATGCCGCCACACGGATTTGCTTGAATTACTTTTACAATGCATTTTTATTGGGTTTTGGTGTGTAGTAAAATATGTCTTAAATTTATTTATTGGCCATAAAATATATCCTTGTCTTACTTAAAATTTCACTATTGTTGTTTCCAGATGTCTGTTTCCAATTTGAAAACTGTATTTAAATTTTACGTTTATATGATCCTCATTATGTGGAAATCTGGCACAAAAACTTACCATCTGAATCGTCATCATTATACCAAGCTGAAAAATGGTTCTTTTCCAAATCCTCAAGACATTTCAGGCAAAAAGTGTGCAAACAAGGCAACACTCTGGGTTCAACAAATTGATTTTTGCACAAGGAACATTTAAATCTGACATCTTCAAATGATGATCCCATAACGCTTTTAGGTCGCAGGCTTGGGAGGGATCTTTTGGTATTCAATGGACTCGATCTAGAATTTTACACGCTTATTTGCAGCATTTTAAATTTTAAGTTTTTACCTGGATCTCTCATGAGAAAGTCTTAGTGGTTCCACAGATCTTCGTTTGCTCAAAGAACCGCCTTCGTTGCTTTGACGCCTTCTGGTAAAGCTTCCGAATATATAAGAAATTCTATCTATGTCCATTTTATGAGTCTATATAAAAGAAAAATCACGATATGGAACACATTTAATTAGAACAGATGTGTATGTGAAAAAGTTGATTATAGGAAATATGTGGGATCCATACTAATAGGTCACCACTCAAAATAAATACATGAAATTAGAAGCGAAAGAATACTTTATTTTGTGGGTCAAGATTTCGGAATCAATGCGATTAATTTTCTGGAACAAAACCTTTTAAGAAACTGAAAATGCTACATCTCTACCTACCTAAAAATAATGAATTATCTCACGATTTTGAGGCTGGTAGGTACTTTTTGCTTTTGGTTAAACGGTAAAAACTTAATTAAAAGTTTGTTTACATCAAATTAAAATATCTCATATTTATGATCAGTTAGTTCAAAACCTTGCCTAAAGTTAACTAAGAGAAAAACTTGAAGAATTTGAGAAAAATCCAGAAAACAAAAAGTTTCTTTCTTTTAAATTGAGTCAAAGAATTTTATAATTTCACCTACCTGTTTCAAGAGAAAACAACAGTGAAAATTCTCGGAACAAAAACTGAGCACAGCTGCCAAAAAAATATGAATTTCAAACCAACGTGAATCACCTCAAACTTAATTACAAGTGCGAGGCTTTCCGACGTCGCAACGCTCTTTCCGATTTACATGCGTCGCTCGACTGACGTCCCACTGTTTTCTTGTTTATTTACCAACGATTTCTTATGACTAGAAGAATTCTAAAGCTGCAATTGTAGCACATTACAAAACAAAAATACTATTCCAAAGAAAATCAATTTACAAAAAAATGGTTTTACTTTTCATTTGAATTACTGAAACAATAATTTGATCTTTGTGGGTCATAAGTTGCGGATACACAATTTATTATTTGGGATGTAAACTTGGAGCGTTAACGAACAGATGGTCTACGTGTCGGGTTTAAGACTGGCGTTGAAATGGTTTTAAGATTTATTTTGTTGTGAAAATAGTTCTACTTGTTCTGGATCGGATTTCCTTTGACGCTTTTCTTTGTAGTCGAAAAAGCTGTTTAAACTTGAAACATTGAATCAACATTTTCGTCGCATGATTTTTTGATTTTAAAATCTCAAACTACTGTAAGAGACTTTTTGCTGTAGTCAATCTTAAGAAAAAAAAAAACATTTAAAAATCTAATACGATTTATTTTATCTTATTAACAATCACATAATTAAACTAAATCAAAGCAGGTGTTCTCCTATACCAAAATCTGGCTCGAAAATCATCTGAACAAGTCAAAAATGCAGCCTGAGTAGGTGAATGAGCTATAAGTCTCACTGCCCCATTATGTCCCAAAGACATCAGTTGCTTTCTGGAAGCATTCCTAGAATTCCAGGCGCATAGAGATGTTGTTGCTTCATCCGGAAAAAGTACAAAGTCTTCTGAATGATTAAAAACGGCTTGTGCTTCATATTCTTGCTTCCCAGTTGTACCGGCTCCTGTATAAGCAATCAAGCACCTGCTAGAGGATAATTCCCACAATTTACAAATGGAATTTTTGCCGGAGGAGAGAAGGTATTTTCCATTACGCGAAAAGACTACTGAACAAACCTCATAACCATCATGAGCTTTAGCAAATGTGTTTATGCATCTAAAATAATAATAAACTGTTTTTACAATAATAATTATTTTATTCAAGTTCATTACCTGTTTGAAACTCCATCCCATAATTTAATGGCCCCATCTCTACTACAGCTAGCAAAATATTTCGCATCCGGAGACCATTTTAGGCAGGTTACAGTTTCAGAATGTTGCTGATTGGGAAAAGGACACACGTAACATTGTAGAGTATTGACGTCATACATTCTTATTACTGGATGATTTGTGGCTACAATCAAATGATTTCCACTTGGATGGAAAGAAAAACATCTAACTGGTTCCGATTCCTATAATAAACAAAACTAAACTTTGAAAAATTTTGACTAAAATTGTTTTCCTTACTGTTATTGTTTTAAATGCCTTTTTTACACTGGCCTTTGATATATCAAACAGCTTAATAGTCTGATCTTTTGATCCCGAACACAAAATCGGTTCCTTAGGATGAAATTCCAGGCAAGTAACTTCTTCCATGTGATCGTACAATGTTCGGATAACGGGATGCCCTTGCTGTTCGACAGCTCTTGAAGGATCCATTTCATCTGGAGCAGATTTTGCCAACATTCTGTCTACATCCAGAATTTTTATGCTGGCATCTACACTGCCTGTGGCAATAAGCTGACCATCAGCCGAAAAACAGCCCGCTCTACAGTTACCTTTATGTGAAGTAACATAAGCTGTTTCATACAAGGCTGGTTCTGGAGCGTGGGTGTTGGAGTCAGTTTCAAATTCCAGATCTGTTGGTAAATAAAGTTGAAAAAAATATTTTAAAGCAAATTGTATTATGACCTAATCCTGGTCCAATGTCGTTGTTTCCAATGCCGAAATTGCGGGGGCGGTCCTTTCTCTTGGGCTCATGCTCCAAACCAGACATGATTAATTTAAACAGTCTATCGCTTGGGGGGCAGGCTGGTTCTGCTTGGACTGCTTGCGCTAGATTTTGACCTATTTGCTGATGACCGTCGTAGAATAATTGGCTGGAATATAAAATGGAGTTTCAAATGTTTAGAATTGTACAAAAAATTTACAGGCAAATGTAGGTACACATGTGGAGTAAGCTCCTTGTTGTCAGCAACAGAAATTTCACATTCAACCAGTTCATTGCTGGTAATGATTATTTTAAAATGCAAAATCACAGCGTATCTTCTTTTAACTGGTTAGAGTAGGCACAAAATATATTTACCCAGGGTTATTTCACTAGGTACTAATTCGCCAATTTACTATAAACTATAACAGCCAAATAAATTGTACAAAAATGTTATTTTTTTTTTCTATTTTTAATTCAAGGAGTCTTGATCTACCCCTCTAATATAATGAATTGTAAAAAAAACGTCAGATTTCTGTCCATACACCTAATATTTGTTGACCTCCAGGAGGCCTACGATACAGTGCTGAACTGAAGAAATAAGTGCTCTGTCCTGGGACTATGTAACGAATAGAGATATTTTCTCTATTTTTATGAACATCCATTCTCTATTGATTTCGAAAAGAGAGAAGACAGCAAGTGCCATAGCGATAGAAATTACTATCTCTATCCGTTACATAGTTCTAGTGCTGGTATGGAAATAGAAGTGAGAGTACATTACTTGTCCACACTATTCTTTGCACACGATCAGGTAGTAATAGCTAGCTGTGAAGAGGACCTGGATTACATATATACAAAACTTAAGAACGAATATGAACAGTGTTCAATGGAAATAAACAAAAGCAAGACAGAATATCTTTGTATTGGAGATAATAATGAATACCCGGATCTTAACTTAAGAGATCTGAAAATGTGCCAGGAATATAAATACTTAGAAAGCTTGAAATCAACAGAGGGGACATCAGAGCGAGATATAAATAACAGAGTAACACAAGATAAAAAATGCGTTAACATTCTGAATTCTCTACTCTGGAGTAGTCAGATTTCTAAAAAAATAGAAGAGACAATCTATAGAGCAATTGTTGACCCGATATTGAGGTACGGAGCTGAATCAAGAAAAGGTAGATGCAGTGGAAACAGACTTTTTCAGACGGGCATGTAAAGTTTCTAGACTGAAGCATATGCAGACCGCTGAAATTCGGAGAAGAACAGGAAGAATATATAGAACCACCGAAATAATAGATAACCGAGGAGAGATGGCCAAAAAGAGCAATATACATTCCATGGAACATAGGAAGAATAAAGAGACCGTGAAAAATGGCGATCGAAATGTGGGATGCGGCAGAAGGCTGTAAGACCCCCGCGCCGATGATGAGAAAAGAAAAGTTTTTTCATATTTTTCAATTTTCAAGAAATTTTTTCACTTAAATTTTGATAGAATATTGGAGAGTAAGTAAAATGACCTCGAATGAGCCTTGATCTAACCTTTAAGTCCAGATAAATAGTAAGCAATATAGTGTTTTTCGTATTTTTTTGATTCCCAAGAAAATCTTTCAACTCGTGTTTCAATTAAATTTTAATAGTTTCTTGTAGAATAGAATAGTTAAAAAGACATCCAATGAACCTTGATCTAAGTTGATCTACCCCTCCAGGCCCCCTGATAAGGATGAAAAAATCACAGCATAGATATTGTAATCCAGCTTGGGGATCTCCAAACTTTTATTGAAACAACTTGTGATAATACAATGTATTGTCAACCATGTAGTGGAATAGAAATCTGGGAAGTTATAGACAGTTTAAAAAAATGATCAGTCCCAAAGCTATGAGTGGGTTTTGGTTTTAGATGTACAGGGTGTTCGTTTATAACTGGAACACTCGGTAACTTTTTTATTATTGAAAATAAAGGGAAAGAAGGTTTAAAATGGAAAATTTCTTGGTAAATTGCAACAATTTTAATTGCTACAATGATATTTTTCTGTCACCATAGGCATACAGGGTGCGTCAAAAAAGTTATTTTTTCAAATGGAACGCCCTATATATTTTTGCATTTTTAAAATTCTTAGAAAATTAGCTTCACAAAAATATCAAACACTATTTGGATAACAAAGATATACAGGGCGTCCATTGAAAAAAAAATCTTTTTGGCGCACCCTGTATACCTATGACGACGAAAAAATATCGTTGTAGCGCTCAAGGTTGCAATTTACCAAGAAATTTTCCAACTTAAACATGCCCTTTATTTTCAATAGTAAGAAAGTTACTGAGTGTTCCAGTTATAAAAAAACACCCAGTAGTACGTACCTAAATAATTTGCAGGAGGAAATGATTTCTAGCCTGACTAAGACTAACAATTTAGTATTGAAAGTATTGAACAGTGCTCAGAACAGTGGTAACTTTCCAGATGACTTGAAAATAACTAGAATTAACCCCTTGATTAACCCTATACAGGGTGTCTAAAATACCATAGGCCACCATTGGTATATCAGAAACGGTAAGAGATACGAGGGCAGTTAAATTAGAAAAAAGTTGCCATTTTCAAAGGGTATTTAAAATATATTTTCGTTGTTGCCAAATTTTTATAAGTTTCCGAGATACAGGGTGATCTGTGTAAAATTTTTTAAATGAAATATATGCACATAATAACCAATTATTTTAATTTTTCAAAAATATATGTTGTGGTTCCAATACTTGACACTCTTGAAACCAATAGTTGACATGTTGCCTGTATCAGTAAAAACCCTGGTAGAAACATCAATAATGTAAGAATCAAACTTTTTATTAATAAAAAATCACATTCGGAAACTTTTTGTTGGGAAAAAATACAAATTTCGATTCTAAATTGGTAATAAAAGAAATTGCTTGGAAAGCATTGGTACATTGTGTTTTTTTCCTGATGTAGCTATAGTAAGACCCCTTGCAATCATCCAACGCAGCAATCATGTCTTCTGGTAGTTCTGGTGCATATTTCACCAATTTCCATTTTTCATAAGTCATCTCTTGATTTAAACCCGGAAGGACCAATTGTTGACACTCTAAAGCTCCAAACATTGACAGGGGTAACAGGGGTGTCATCTATTGGATCTACGACCGTTACATTCCCCAAACCCATATCTAGGTTTCTTTTTAATCCAGAGCAATAAAAAGAGACAGACTACAATGTCAAAATATTTTTACCGCCAAAAATCCATAAGTTGACACTAGTGTCAACATTTGGATCACACCTCGATTTGGGCTCCAATAGTTGACACCCCCCCTTAAAAAGTTTATGCCCGTTATTTAAGAGATAAAACAATTATAAATATGTATTACAATGTATCATATTATACAGTAAATATATATTATTCATAAATTATCAACCCTACCTTAGCTTTGAGAACTTTTGTTTTTATATTTTCTTAACTACTTTCACTAGAAATCTGGAAGAAAGTTCAAACAATTGCACCTGTTTACTACTTCTTGCCACCATTTTGAAAAAACTTGTGATTTCAAATCCATGCAACAGCTATAACACGCAATATGGATCCAACTATACTATAAGCTATTTCAGTTAGCTCCTGGGTACTTTACCTTACCGTTTCTGATATACCAATGGTGGCCCATGGTATTTTGGACACCCTGTATATAAATCTGGAAATAACTCGGTAAATGAGGACAATGTTAACAACTAAGTACAGACCAATCAGTGTAATCAGTGTTTTCAATAAGATTTTGGAAAAAGTTATCAACAAAAGAATGCTATTTCATAGATGAATATAGAAGTTTATAAGAAATGGTTACACACTTGGTGCAATAGCAGACCTTGTGCTTTTGATGTTGCTAGTGTAGGTATCCTCTGAAGAAAATAGAATGGGGTTTAATGGAAAAAAAATTCAACTTATTAGGGTCATATCTTAAAGATAGAAAACAGTAAGTATACTATAAGTATAGTATTTTTAATTTGAATTGAAAGATTTAAAAAAACATCTAAGCCGTTTCCTCGCGCTCTCTTTTCTGACATTGGTTCAAAACCAGTATGAAACAGTCAATGGAAACACCATTGACCGTTTCAAACTTATTTTAAACCAAAAATCAAAAAAGTGACCGCGAGAAAACGCCTTAGATGTTTTTTTAGTGTTTCAATTCAAATTAAAAATACTATACCTATACAAATCTTGGGTGTCTGTTATGCCAAGCAAAATCTTAAAAAGGGCACAGACATCAAATAATTGTCTTCTATTCTCAAGAGGAGTAAGATTTAAAAGCTTAATTAATTAGGTCGTCACATTATTCACAGTTTACATCTTGATAAGGAATGCCCATCTCAAGCCCATCCCACTTTAGAAATTTTCTCTGCACCCTTTCCAAACTCTGCTTGTCTACACTATAATAAGGCTGCCAAACAGAACTAGTGTACTCCAGCAGTCTTGTCAGCAAAGAATGTACTAAGACACAGAAGACTTAAAAGCTCGCTTAAAAGTAAAGGTATTGTCAATTTCTCTCAGAGTTTGAATGACAAACCCAAGCATCCTTATTGCTTTGTTTGTATTTTTTTCAATATGAGTATTGAATCATAGTTCAGTCTCTATCCAAACATTGATGTCTTTTACTAAGGTTTCTCTTTCTAACTCTATGTTATTAATTGAGTAGGTAATTAAAAATGATTGAGTTTTTGATTCTGCTGAATGTGATAATGTTACATTATTTGACATTTAGTTTCAAATTATTCAGGGATCACCATGTGGTAAACAAGTTTAGTTGTTCTTGCAAAGATTGAGAGTCTGGCACATCGATTATAATCTTATAAATCTTAAAGTCAACAGTAAACACTTCAAAATCAAAGTCCTTAAAAATGAATTAAATATTAACAAACACATTAAAAAGTATGGTTGACAGATGCCCCCTTGCGGTACCCCAGTCACTACAGTTTCAGATGATATAATTTTTTAAATTTTAACAGCTTGTCTTAGGTCTTTCAGATTGCTTTGAAACCACTTGAAAAGAGAGCCAGAAAGTCCTACAGCATTAGCTTCGATAGCGATATTCTGTGATCTACTTTGTCGAATGCCTTTGAAAAGTCAGTATATATAGGATCCAGCTGATAAACTTATTCTCAAAGGCACCCAATAGAACTTG